CACCCCAAAATACAAACACAATCAGTGAAATGAGAGACAACTTCATGTAGCCTAATATACACAGAAATAGAGTCCCCAAATGACAGGGGTAGGAGTCAGAAAAAAAATATTTAATTTAATTCAAATTTCATTTGCTTCACCTAAATTTCTTTAAAAGATAATAGGCTTTAAAACAAGAATAACAGCAGTGTATGCTGGGGTTTAAACTGGGTATAAAAATAAAACGTATATATGTTTCCTGATGCCAATAGAACAAAACTAGAAATAAACAAACAAAATTCTGGAAAACCCACATATCTTTAAAAACTAAACAGGATACTTCTAAATAACCCATGAATCAAAGGAGAAAAACAAAGGGAAATTTAAAAAATACATCACACCCAAATTTGTGGGATGCTGCTAAAGCAATACTTAAGAGGAAATTTACACCCTTAAAATACTTATATTAGAAAAAAAAATCAAATCAATGACCTAAGCTTCTACCTTAAACTAGAAATAAATTAAACTAGAGCAAATGAAATCCAGAGCAAGTGGTGGGGGGTGGGAAGGGTGAAAATAACAAAGATCAAAGTAGTAATCAATCAAATAGAAAACAGAAAAATAAAATCAATGAAATAAAAATCTGGGGTTCTTTTGTTACTGTTTTAGAAGATCACTGAAAGTGACACACTTTTGGTCATTACCAATTGGGCAAAAAAGACAGAACCACTAACAGAAATCAAAGAGGTGACATCACTACAAATCCTAGAGGTGTTAAAAGAATACAGTGGCTTGTACCACTGCTCTCTTTAAAATAGCCAATCAGAATCAGCTTAGACTGTGCAGTCCAACTGCAGACAATAGAGGAACAAAACAGCAGTAGGGGCTACCTGTGTCAGGGATAAGAATCCCCTCCCCTCCCTTGTTCAGGTGTGCTCTCACCATTGCTAGATCCGCAAGACATAGGATGCACCCTTCTATAGAAGTAAATATTGCCTTGCTGAGAAAATTTGAGTGCTCTTTCTTTTGTAGCACTGAAAGTTTGCTTCTAACAAAAGTATTGCCAAATTATTTATCAAAAAAAATTTATATTAATTCCCAGTATCACTCTAATTGTTCCTAGAATTCCTTTTTATTTCTGAATTAGATTGGTAAAGCACGGTCTTATCATTTTAATTTCCATTTGTTTCCTTGCTAGTGATTTCTCCCTCTCCCTACCCCTCCCCCCCACCACCCCATTTCCCTCTCTTTCTCAACGAAGTTTCACTCTGTTGTCTTGGCTCACTGCATCCTCTGCCTCCCAGGTTCAAGCAATTCTCCCGCCTCAGCCTCCTGAGTAGCTGGGATTAAAGGTGTGTGCCACCATGCCCAGCTAATTTTTGTATTTTTAGTACAGGCAGGGTTTCACCATTTTGTCCAGGATGGTCTTGATCTCTTGACCTCATGATCCGCCTGCATCAGCCTCCCAAAGAGCTGGAACTACAGGCATGAGCCACCATCCCTAGCCATCTTTTAATTTTTATTGGCTCTTTATGCTTCTCCTTCTGCAAGTTGCCTTGTTTGTCCATTTTTCAACAGAATGGTCTTCCATAGGAAGTTTTTATTAACATTAACATTTCATTAAGTAATACAAATAATAATTGTCCCTAGCATTGCAAATAACTAACATAGATGGTACGGTCATCAATGTTTCATTTTCTTGTCTAAACTTGTTTATCATCTATCTCTCACTAACCTAGGAATTAGTTCCATGTCCACTTGCTTGTCCTGTTCACTGTAGCTCCAATACCAAGGCATTCCATATTAAATGAAATAAATTATCTGAACATACCATTACTTAACCAAGATAAAGGACGTCCTGTTAGGTACAGGATTGTTAGAGGTTCTTTTTTTGTGGCTACAAGATATTGTTTTAATGTTCTCTTAAGTTTCTAGGGTTGGCGGTGAGAAGTCTATTGTTAATGTGATTCTCTTTCCTTTTTCTCTGAATGATTTTTCTCATGATGACTAAAATTCAGTTATTTCTGCACATTATCTCTAAATAGGTGTATTTTTTCATTAAACTTTTTCCACACAGCCCCAGCCCCAATCAAATATATCTAAGTCTCAGCCTTTTCAACCTGACAACTTAAGGATTTCTAAACTAGAGAAGTTTCTTCTATAATTTCCTAAACTAATGCTTATTCTGTCTTGTTTTCTATTGCTCATACGCCAACTTCCTGAATTTGTTCCTGTAGGTCTCTGATCTTTTCAAAAATAATTTTATTTCTGTATGTCTTGCATCGTGAAATTGTTTCCATTTGATCTTCTGCAACAAAAGATTCAGCTCTCACAAACGGTTATCAGTTCATCTGTAGAATTTTTCTCTTAGGAAATTTTTAGCTCTAAAAAGTCCTGATTATGTTGTAATTGCATTTTCTGAAAGTTTTTAATAATTTTTTTCTTAATTTACTACATTCTTCTGTCTCATCCCTGTGGCTCATCAATAGAAGCCACATATTTTACTTGCTTAGTTTGGGCTTCCACAATTTGGTCCCTTAGTGGTTTTTTCTTTGCTGTGTTCCATTAGTCACCTGTAGACGTTAGGCTTCGATGTGGATACCTGGGAATGCAAACCTACAAATGCTGGATAAAAAATGACCTGCAGAGGCAGACAAGCTCACACACTGCTGAGGCTTCAGCAGTCTCCTCTCAGGGATTATCTCTGAGTGGAAGGGCCAGCTTCCTCAGACCAGGAGGTCTGTCAGCAACTGAGTTCACTAGCGCAACTTCTATTCTAAGCCCACGGCAGTCAACAGAGGTTTATGGGAAGCCCTGCTAACGTCCTCTTCCAGGAGCAGACACATTCAGCCCTTTTCTGATGGGAAACCACAGGATTCCACTTTTTTAAGCTCACTTAGAGAACTGCGAAATCTGAGATGCTGGCTCAGTGCCTTAAGAAGAGGCAAAGCAAACCTTTCCCTCTCCCTGGTCCTTCAGCACCTATTCCTTCCCTAAAGAACTTGATACCTTAATGATTCAGACTTTAGGTTCGTGTTTACTATACTCCTGAGAGGAGGAGTTAGGAATGTGGACTTCTATCTTCTCAGAATTTCAAAATTAACTTAATTTCTAACATTTCTACTAGGTGCTCAAGGTTTTTGTTTCTGGTCTTTGCCTGCAAAAGAGGTTTTTATTTTCATTTCTTTCATTATGATATAAAACAATAAAGTCTGGGTTCAGTGACTCACACCTGTATTCCCAGCACTTTGGGAGGCCAAGGTGGGCGGGTCACCTAAGGTCAGGAGGACCCGCCTGACCGACACGGCAAAATCCTGTCTCTACTAAAAATATAAAAAATTAGCTGAGCATGGTGGTGGGCACCTGTAATCCCAGCTACTTGGGAGGCTGAGGCAGGGAGAACTGCTTGAACCTGGGAGGCGGAAGTTGCGGGGAGGCGGAAGTTGCAGGGAGGTGGAAGTTGCAGTGAGCCGAGATTGTACCACTGCACTCCAGCCTGGTGAACAGAGCAAGACTCTGTCTCTAAGTAAATAAATAATAATTCAGACAAAGAGCCATTAGCTATTTGGTAATAGTTTAGAAAGGTAACTGATATTTTTGTATCATCTGTTTAGCAAGATATTAGGAGGATGAGAGGAGACTGAATTTTGCTGAAGTGTAGATGTAAACAATTACCAGCCATTATTCCAGAGGTCATAAGATTTGAAACTTCCCTAATTACTACTGCAGGTAACATCAGTATTGTAGAACCTAAGATTGGCCTTTTCCGGTTTTTGCATTTCTGATGGCCGATGGCTTCATGTGGGCCCACCAACTGGTCCTGGTCCTGTGGATCCACTCAGAAGTGGACTCAACATTAAGACCACTTTCCACACCCCTAATTGCATCCCTAAACAATCAGTAGCACCCATTTCCTGTCCCATTAAACTATCCTTGAAAAACCCTAGGCTCCAAATATTGGGGAAGACTGCTTTGAGAAATAAGATTCTGGTCTTCTGTTCAGCCAGCTGATCTTGATAAATCAACTGTATCTGGGCAGCAGGCAAAATGAAACTGTTGGGCAGTTAACGATAGTTTTAATAGAAATATCTGGGCTCATTCCATCTTTATATAATGCTTAAGATTTTATCCATAAAACTGAAATTAGACTAAAAATCATAAAAGGAGTATTAAGACAATTTTATATTACATGGTTAAGAATTCTACTGCACAGTATGGAGTAACACTAAGTAGGTCATGGCAGAGCAACACTCCCAACAGCTAGAAAAAGGCAGAAACATAAAAAATGATATTTTTAAAGGCATCAGGCAAGCTATGGAATCAATAAGGCCTAGAATGATTAAAATTCATAGTAGGACGACTGTTCAGAGGTAAGCTGATTTTTTTTTCCCCCGAAGGCCATTCACCAAATCTGGGCACAGGCTAAGAAAGCAGCAGACTTAGTTAAGGCAGAGGCTGCTGGAGCTAAGAAAAGTCAGCAAAACTCTTGGCAGTTACACAGGGTTGAAGAAATAATCAGACTTAAAATGCCTCAATTCCACAGCCAATTTCTCCCAGAAGACATTTGCTGAACTTAGAAGCTGCAGAAAGAGCTCAAGGGCTAGAAGGCAAACTTCAGAAAGGCAAAGTAAAATTTCCTGTAGTTGTGAGATGCATAGGTATCCATACTAATTGAAGACCTGATGTGCCTCAAACACACAGCCAGAGATGAAGATTCTGTGCTTAGTCAAACTTTAGTCAGGCTCCTGAACCTTCTCCTAGGTACATCTGTGCATTTCCTTGTAAAATCCAGTTTAGCAAGACCCCCACACTTGATAGCTGATCAGGTGCCTCATCTTCCCCCTGGCCTGTCTTCAGCAAGAATCTTAAGTTGTTTTAGCCAGAATCCCCATCACCCCTGACGTTTCCTTTCAGTAATTTTCTATCCATTGACTCCTGCACTGCTCCTTGGCTATAAACTCCCACTTGCCCATGCTGTAGAGTTGAGCTCAATCTCTCTTTCCCACTGCAGTGTTCCCCATACATGCTGTGATAATCCCAAAAAAGTCTTCCTTACTGTGTGTTAACAAGTATTGGATAATTTTTTCTCTAACACCAATTTTACCCTCAAGACATTTGCTCGATTTTGATGTCAAATGGGCAAGATGACAATCAAATGTGGATAAAGAAAATGTGATATATATACATACACACATGTATACACACACACATACATGCCCCACAGAATACTACTCAGTAATAATAAGAAATGAAATAATGGCATTCACCGTAACCTAGATGGAATTGGAGACTATTATTCTAAGAGAAGTAACTCAGGAATGGTAAACCAAACCTGAGTTATATGTTCTCCTCACTCATAAGTAATTGGGAGCTAAGCTATGAGAACACAAAGGCCTAAGAATCATACAATGGACTTTGAGGACTTGGAGAAAAGAGTGGGAGGTGGGTGAGGTATAAAATACTACACACTGGATACAGTGTACGCTGCTTGGGTGACGGGTGCCTAGATGGAATTGGAGACTATTATTCTAAGTGAAGTAACTCAGGAATGGAAAACCAAACATCGTATGTTCTCACTCATAAGTAATTGGGAGCTAAGCTATGAGAACACAAAGGCCTAAGAATCATACAATGGACTTTGCGGACTCAGGGAAAAGGGTGGGAGGCAGGTGAGGGATAAAAGACTACAACATTGCCTACAGTGTACACTGCTTGGGTGATTGGTGTACCAAAATCTCAGAAATCACAACTAAATAGCTTATTTATGTAACCAAGCACCACCTATTCCCCAAAAGCCTACTGAAATATAAAAAAGACAAGACAGGGAAAAAAAAAAAAAAAAAAAGCTTTAAAGGGCAGAATCAAATCTCTCATTTTACTTAGAGGTAAAATGAGTCTTACCAAACTTTCAAACCAATTCAAATCAAATTCAATCCATGCCAAAACGGAAATAATCAGCCCCTAATCCAAATAATGAACAGGAGTCTCTAAAGATAGCTACCATAATTCTCTATAATTTTTTGGTACGCTATGTCTATAATAAAATTGCCACACATGAAAAAACAGAGTCAGAAGACCAATAACAAATAGAAAAGATGATCTTAGATAACTTTAAAATAATCATGACTATTGTGTTCAAGAAAAATGAAAAAAAATATAGATGAGAGGACTGACATTTTTCACCAGATAGACTCAATAAAACGAAGCATTAAAACATATGAAACCTCAATTTACTATCTCAATGGAGTCAGATTGGATATAGCAGACAGCATGTATTAGTAACTTAAGAGACACAGCAACCCTACAAGCCAGAAAAGAGTCGGGGCCAATATTCAACATTCTTAAAGAAAAGAACTTTCAACCCAGAATTTTACATCCAGCCAAACTAAGTTTCATAAGCGAAGGAAAAATAAAATCTTTTGTGAACAAGCAAGCACTCAGAGATTTCATCGCCACCAGGCCTGCTTTACAAGAGCTTCTGAAAAAACCACTACAAATAGAAAGGAACAACCAGTATCAGCCTTTCTAAAAAATACCAAAAAATAAAGAACATCAACATAATTAAGAACTTGTATCAACTAATGGGCAAAACAGCCAGCTAACATTAAACGGCAATATCAAACTCACACATATTATTATTAATTCAACTAAATCCCCCAATCCAAAGTCACAGACAGGCAAAAAAAAAAGCCAAGACCCATTGGTATGCTACATACCATCTCACATGCAAGAATACACAAAGACTCAAAACAAAGGGATGGAGAAAAATTTACCAACCAAATGGAGAGCAAAAATAATAAATAAATAGAAAGCAGGAATTGCAATTTTTGCTGATAAAATAGACTTTAAAGCAACAAAGATCAAAAGAAGCAAAGAAGGCTATTACATAATGATAAAAGGATCAATGTAACAAGAAGAGCTAAAAATCCTAAATATATACGCACGCAATACAGGAATACCCAGATATATAAGACTTATAAAGAGACTTAGACTCCCACACAATAATAGCGAGAGACTTCAACATCAATATCAGACAGATCAACGAGACAGAAAGTTAACATCGATATCCAGCACTTGAACTCACATCGGGAACAAGTGGACTTAATTAACATTTATAGAACTCTCCACTTTAAATATACAAAATATACACTCTTATCAGTACCACATCACACCTATTTACAGGTTTAAATGAAATATTCATTGGCTGCTTGTTAGTTTTCTTCCCTCATTTTTTTTTCCATGTCTCTATTACTAAACACAATAACAGGCATACCCATTTTTAGACTGCATTCTAGCCCGGGCAATAAAGCAACACCCCAGTTCTCTCTCCCTCTCCCTCTTCCTCACTCTTCCTTTCCTTCATTTTTTCTTTCTTTCTTTTTTTTTTATTCTTTCTCTTTCTTCCTTTCTCTCTTTCTTTAAAAAAAAAAAAGAAAAAGAAAAAAGAAAATCCAGAAAAGAAGGCAACCAATCCAGATTATGGGAATTTCCAAAAAAAAAAAAAAAAATTAATGTCCAACCTCATTCTTTTTTTTTTTTTTTTTTTTTAAAAAAAGGACTCCCTGTAACAAAAAAAAAAAAAAAAAAAAAAAAAAAAAAACAAAAAAAAAATAGCCACAATAAAGCACAGAAAAAATAAAGGGAGAGCGGGCAACAAAAAAAAGCATGAAACATGTAAGATATATACAAAAATTTAAATTGATGTCCTATTCCCACAAAATGAGACACAGGCAGTATAGCGATAATAGTTGAGAATTTTCACAGATTCAAGCTTAAAGAATAGCAAACAGATAAGCACAAAGGAAACCACATCTTAGCATATCACAGCTAAATTCTGAAAACCAAAGATGCTGAAAAATCTTAAAAGCAGTTAAACAACAACAACAAAAAAAGGTGGCTGGGCACAGTAACTAACACCTATAATTTGAGCACTTTGGGAGGCCAAGGCAGGAGGATCACTTGAGGCCAGGAGTTCAGGACCAGCCTGGCCAACATGTTGAAACCCTGTCTCTACTAAAAATTTAAAAAATAGTAATTAGCTGGGCATGGTGGTACACACCTGTAATCCCAGCTACTCAGAAGGCTGAGGCAGGGAAATCGCTTGAACCCAGCAGGTGGAGATTGCAGTGAGCTGAAATTGAGCCACTGCACTCCAGCCTGGGTGACAGAGCAAGACTCAAGACTGTCTCAAACAAACAGACTGGGCAACAGAGCAAGACTTTGTCTCAAACAAACAAAAAAGTTTACATTACTTTCAAAAGGCCAACTATAAGATCATTCACTGACTTCTTAATACAATGAAAAATGGCAGAAAACAATGGAATCAAATCTTTAACTTAAATAACTGCCAATTCAGAATTCTATACCTCTTGAAAATATCCTTGAGAAATTAATGCAAATTAAAGATATCTTTAGGGGAAGCAAAAATAAAATTCATATGGTTCATGTAATTTTTTTTCTTGTAATTTCATACTTAATGCTTAACCGCCAAAGAATAGAGACCCCAAAGCCTAATATATAACATAGACTCCATCAGTGTTGAAAATGGATGCAGACTTGAATACCTACCTGTAGCAAAAATATCCTTCAAAAAATAATGGCAAACCAAAGACATTCCTAAAGAAAATGGAAATCACACTGCATGATGCAAGACAATTTTTTTTTCTCAAACTACATCCTCATTGATTACATACTACCTGGAATATATAGACTCTATAAATGTTGAAAAAGTTAGAGAATAAATGTATTTTAATATTTTTTAAATCTGCAAAACTTGTGATAAGCAAATATTTAATAATAAAGTTTCAGACGCAATCCAGTTTATAATTTTCCTTTATATAAATAAATACATTTTGGGAGACTGCAGAGGTGGCTCATTTGAGGTCAGGAGTTCAAGACCAGGCTGACCAACATAGTGAAACCCTGTCTCTACTAAAAACACAAAAAATTAGCTGGGTGTCGTGGCATAAGCCTGTAGTCTCAGCTTCTCGGTAGGCTGAAGCAGGAGAATTGCTTGAACCTGGGAGGCAGAGGTTGCAGTGAGCCAAGGTTGCACCACTGCACTCCAGTCTGGGTGATAAAGCAAGAATGCATCTCAAAAAAATAAAATAAATACATACAATGCTACCAATTGTTAGTATCGATCTTTAAGATGTTATCTTTTGTTTAAAAGAAATCCATGTTTCTCCAGTGTAACTCACTTTAGCTGAGTCCCACATTTTAATAATTCTGATTTTATTTCAAATTAATGTTCTCCACATAACTATATTGCAATCTCACAATCTCCTTTTCTACACACACACACACACACACACACTAAATGTATATATATGTCCTAGAAACCTAAAAATGTCAACAGTGCAGAGAGGGGGCTTACATATAAAATTTATTACTAACCTAAACTTTAAGATACTTTAAGTCTGCAATGTTTCCTGTATCAGAATGGAGTTACATGGTTAGCTAGAACTTTGTTTCTTAGAACTTTGTTTCTAAAATTGGCAGCCATAACTTACTGCCACTGCATGTAGGAATTTGCATTTTTATATATATAAAAAAAAGGCCTGGTAATTGTCCAAAAGAGCCAAGAAGAAAAAATAAACGAAATGCAACTTAAAATTACCTTGCTAGAATTGAAGCCTTAAGGAAAAGTATTCCTATGCTGTTTTAAAAAACAAACGCCACCACTTCTTTGCCATTAACTGCACATAATCTAGAGAGCATTTTCCTCTTACAGCCCTTTCATTCAATTGTTAAGTTTCAACTATGATTTACAACACATACTTCAAAATTCAACAAGCATGGGGAATGGCATCAGAGAAGATGGTGGAAGAGGAAGCTCTAGGAATCTATCCACCAAAACTACAATTTAATTAGCAGGAATTACCTGAAGCTACTATTACGGAACTCTGGACCTGGTAGAACACCTGCAGCCTCCAGGAGACAGCTTAATGAAGGTGTTAGCAAATTTCAAATAATTTCGGCTTTCCTGTGGTTGCAGCTGTCACCCCCCTCATCAACCAACTCTGTGGCAGGCAGCTGTGGATGTTGCAAAGGGTATCTGGTGTGGCTTGTGGGAGTAAGGGGGTCAATAAGGGCTCTGTGCTCCAAAAGCTAGTGTTGTGGGTTCTAATTTCTGCTTTTGATCACTAAGGGCCTGGTACACCCGGGGATTCTGGGCCAAGAGGGAATTTTATAGAGAGGACCTATTTTTAACCCCTCTTTGGGGAATAGGATATCTAAGGAAATCTTACTGATTGGCTGACAACAGAGAAAACAAAAAAAGAAACTTCAGAGACCACCCATTAGAAGAAATACATACTTAGCAAGAATAGTTTGGAAGAGTAATAAAAGGAACTCTTCAATAGTCAAGGAGCAAAACCTAGCAATTTCTGAGGGCTAGGAGAATCAGATGTCCAAAGTCACCACATATACTCAGACAGTCCAGTTCTCAATGAAAAATTACAACACAAACAAGAAACAGAAAAGTATGGCCCAGTCATAGGAAATAAAGAATACGGCAGAAACCATCCCTAAGGAAGCCTAGACATTTGAATTATTAACGTGAGACATTAAATCAACAGTATTAAACATGTTCAATGAGCTAAAGGAGACAATGGTCAAAGGACTAAAGAAAATCAAGAAAATAATGTCTAAATAAAATGAAAGTATCAATAAAAGAGAAAAAATTTTTAAAGAAACTAAACAAATTCTGAAGATAAAAAGTACAGTAACTAAAATGAAAAATTCACTACAGGAATTCAACAGCAAATTTCAGCAGACAGAAGAAAAGATACATAAACTTAAAGTAAGACAT